CTCAACTTTGTGTCCCAATCCTCCTCCTTGGGACAATAATGATAACTCAAATCCCTCTCCTTCAAACAAGGGAAAATACGCCTAAATTTCATTATCGTTGTCAACATATTATATGTTGAATTCCATCGCTGCAATCAAGAATAAGCTTGCAAAATGGCAATCAGCGCTGCTGAACAATCTCTGCAAACACCTTTAGTCTACTCTCCGATGAATTGATATATGCCACGGTATCACGAATGTCCTCAATAATGTATCTAATCTGATAAAGACCATCTTGAACAACCAGGTTCAAGATGTGTACACAACACCTCACATGAAACATCTTGCCCCCACATATGAGCTTCCCCGTAGCTTGGAAATTATCTTTCAACACTTTTACTGCAACATCATTGCTTGAAGCATTATCCACCGATATCGTGTGGACCTTAGCTTCAATTCCCCAATCCATCAAACACTTGAAAATTGCATCAGCAATGGCAACACCAGAACGGGGAGGAGGGAAATGAATAAAGTTCAACACCCTTCTATTAAACTTCCAATTATCATCAATCTAATGCCCAGTCAAGACCATGTATTCCATCCTCTGGTTGCCTGAATGCCATAGATTTGTGGTCAGACTTATCTTCTTAACACCTTTCAATAGGGTCAGCAACTTTTGCCTCTCATTTTCAAACACTCACATATAATCATTCTTACAAGTATTACAGGATATCGGAGTCCATTCAAGAATCTAGTACTTCATCATGTTGTTCAAACCCTCTTCCTCCATAATAGAAAATGGATGCTCATGCATCAGCATTCACTGTGCAATAAGCTCCCTCATTTTCAGCATACTAAATTGGCCTCGTAGAGCAGGAAGGATATTAGAACCACCTTGAGAACTGGAAGGGGGGAAATTTATTTGTTATTGCCTCAAGTGAGTTGTTCTCTTCGCACACCTTTTCAAATGTCTATTGAATTGTGTTGTGCTTCCATTGACAGTCATTTTCAAGTCATTTTCAACTTTGTTTTACAATGAATGCACTCTCCATTCCTTGTAACACCAGGGAGAACCACCTCCCTAAATTCTGACCACACAGCTGATGTCTTCGCTCTCTTCTTCCTCTCAAGTGGACTGTCATTATCCTCAACATTTTCAGGGCTACTCATACTTTGCTCGGTACCACCTGTGCTTCCATAAATGTTACGCCGATCGACTACTCTTACCGTAACACAATTGTCGATGTCATCCAATGTAGGGGTGCTTGAGGAACTGTCTCCCGATGCCATACCTACAATTGAAAAATGAATTAACCACTATCGTTAGATAATATCATAAAGTTAAAATAATATATAATTGATAATTCTGGTTCATTTTTTACATGCTTAATAAAATAAATTCTAGTTCTTTTGTGGTTGTTATCTGCTTCACATAATATATATTCATTTAAAAAAAAAAATTGTTATATTTTTCATGGGTTAGAATTATACTTTGGAGGGCTTCAAAAAGCCAATAGAGACCATTAAGCAAACTGAAAACCCATTGCTTGGTGGTTTAAAATTATTAATGTTGACACATGTATCAAAAAAAATAAAAATCATAGACAATCGAACAGTAGTAAGCAACCATAAAATTATTGAAATTATATTATTTAAAATTTGATAAAAATAACATAAATCACAATTATTTTGTTCCTCTAGCATCACATATAAAAACAAAAGACCAGAACCTAGCTATAGCGTAACAAAGAAACTTGAAGGAGAGCAAAACTGCACAACCAGAAGATACTAAAGCCAGAGCAAATACTCAAGCTGAAACAAAAGCTTCTAGCAGACCTTTCCAAAAAAAACCAACAGCGCACCTAAAAACGCCAGCTCACAATGTAAACACCAACACAGAAACCCATCTGCAACACCCACAAACTACAGTAGCTAGCAACCACCAAAAACCTTTTTACATAAGAAAACAAACCAGAATCATCTTGCTGCTCAATCAAACACCAACAAATAAACTCCAGCCACTGCAGATAGCCCATAACAGACTGGACCAACAGCAGATGGACAACAAAATTCCATCTCACCCAAGTACCCAACTAAGTATAATTCCAACAGATAAAGAAAGTGAAATGATAATACACACACTACATGTATTCCAACAGATAAAGAAATGATAATACACGCACTACATGCATGCGATAATCTTTAACCTGCTTTTGATAGAAAATTAAAAAAAAAAAAAAACTCTTACTTAATTGAATCATTGAACATTCTTAGGCCATAGCATCTTCTAGATGTGTTTATATAGACTTCAGTATTTTGCATGTGTTACAAAAGGTATCAGCACTAAATATCCCCGCTTGAAGATAACAAGGATTTCTCTATTGGATTTGCCATTACAAATAGAAACTAATATCATGATTCCTCTTATAAATTGTTAACCCACTTCGGCCCCTAATTTAGAGCAAGGAAATATCACAGAACTCAGTTACTAACAATTGTTGAATTTTTCATAACAGCACCTTCCTCACAAAACACCATGTACCCTTTGGTTTCAGAGCTAATAAACTAAAATTCAGGGGACACGGTTATAACATATTTGTGAGTCAATAGATGTTTGAACACATATGAACATTCCTAAACCTGCTATTGACACCCATACGGATATGGCATATTATACTCATACGTACTGCCAAATAGAACTGCAGAAAACTAAGATACGTATGCTACACAAGCCTCCTTCACAGCAAAACATAATCCCATTACCCAACTTCGTTTTAGCTAGCTCCCCATATTATACACAGCCTGTTCATGACTCCAGTAAAATGAACAAAGTGAAATAAAATGCTTGCGAGAAGTAAACCCAACTTCGTTTTAGCTAGCTCTTTAATTCTCAATACTTGCTTTTGTATCAAAAACTTTGCCCTAGCTTTTATCCCATGTAATGTATAGGCTGTATGATCAAACTAACCCAAAAAGCATAAAAAAAAAAAAAAAAAAAAAAAGCGCTAGCAAGCTACACTCCATACACAGCAAACTAACCTGGAAGTTTCAGAGTGTCTACGATTTCGGGCCTCTTTTTCAGGTTGCCGAGATCGGAGATGGCGACGAAAATTACCGATTTCACGGCGAGGAATCATGGCTAGTTTACAATTTGGGGGTCTTTGTTTGCAATTTGAGATTTAGGGCTAGTGGGAACTGAAATTGATTTGGTGTATCGTGTTATAAGAATTTGCACTTTGGTTGGGGGGGGGGGGGGGGGGGGGGGGGGAAGGATATGAACTGTCATTTTTTTTAACTTTTTTCACTAGAAAATATCAGTTTAATACCTAATGGTTTAAAAAATCACCAAAGCACCCTGCATAAGTGCATAGTGTTTACGGGAGCTGGACTAGGCTCGCGAGCCCACGGTTGAGCTTCACTGTGTTCAAACTCGACTCGGTTAACAAACTGAGTTCGAGTTGATAATAACCGAGCCGAGCTCCAAACGAGCTCTAATCGAGTCGAGTCGAGCTGGCTTGGCTCGTTTACAGTCCCACTACCAGAGTTTGTTTATGCTGTAGGAAAATTAGATATGTATTTAACAGGTCAGTTACATGAACTAACTGGTTTGCTTTAGAGTGTTGTTGCCCATTGATTTTGGTTGTGATCTATATGTGGTGTAATCATACAGAAGTTTAGTTTCGTTCATTTTATTCGAAATGAGTTTAATTTATTTATTTTTTTCCAGCAGAAGCAAAAACAAAGGCTAAGAACATGGAGGAACAAATATGTAGATTGTTGTAGACGCAAATTCAGATTACCAAAATGCAGTTTCTGATGTCACATATTGCTCTTGTATTATATATTTATATTAAGTTAGAGCATATGCAAACTCATCGAAGGTGACTAACGATAGTGATCAAAATAGATAGTTTCTGATGTCATATTGTTCCTGTATAATATAATTCAATTTTGTTCATTTGTAATGCAACATTGACTACCTTTTGATTAATTGATTTTGCTCGTTTGTGCAGTGATGGTACATTGTTTCATATTGTATATGCTTTGTGATTAATGCATTTACTGTAATTGAAATGTGCTTTTGGACTTGCTTTTAAGAGTAGTGAGATGTGAAATGATGTTTTATTTATTTAATCGCTGAATATTCATATACTTGACTTTGTGATTGCTTAATTCTGATGGTCTCTTATTTATCTATATATCTCCTTTGCAATAGTACAACAGAAATGAGGCATGTAGTCGAAGGTGAAGTTTAGGCTCTGCTTTGGCTATCATTGATGCTCATTTAGTCAATGCGTATTGGCTTTTCTGTAGATCCTCTAAAGAAACATAACTGCAAATTTTCTTAAGAATAATACTACACATACATTATTCTCATGCAATATTTCTCATACAACATTATGTGGCAAGATATGATTCGGTGAAAGTTTAATTTTAACTTTAAATTAACCAATCATATATTACCACATAATGTTGTATGAGAAATGTTGTATAAAAATGATGTATGTGTAACATTACTTTTCTTAATAGATTATCCATCAGGGGCGGATCCAGAGTGTGGTAAGGCCCACCCTCAATTTAAAAAAAAAAAAAAAAAAATTTAATATGTTATTCTATTTGGTTTGACTTTGGCCCACCCTCAATTTTTATTTTCAAATATTAAAAATGTGGCCCACTCTCAATTTTATTACTAAAAGTCTTGGTCTACTCTTCATTTTAATACTAAAAAACTTGACCCACCTCCCACCTTCAATTTTTTAATAAAACTTGTAAAAGTAAACCTTCCTCTGCAGTTACAATTTTCAAACCCTCAGTCCATAGTCGCTCACGTCTTCCACAACTCCTCTGCAACTCTTCCTAATTCTTCATAGTTTACACTTCAATAAAATTCTATTAGCTATTTTCTCTCTTGTTAGTACTTTTTTTTATGTATAATGTTTTTCTTTTATTTGTATGCATTAGCATAATAACATTATACATTGAATTTTTTATTGAGAAAACTTATAGAAAAAAAGGGGAAGATGGGAATCGAAACATTGTTCTCTAAATACAATTTGAGCATATCAATATTATGTGGACAAGGTTATGATGGTGTGAGTAATATGCGATGTCAGTTTAATGGGTTAAAAGCACTTATATTGAAAGATAATGAATATGCCTTCTATATTCATTGTTTTGCTCACCAATTTCAATTGGCATTTGGAGCTATGGCAAAAAAGGATACAAATATTGAGAGACTTTTTTTGAAAGTTTCTTGTGTTATGACTATTGTTGGATGGTCACCTAGACGTAGGGATCTTCTTAATGAGAAACAAGCTTTGAAGGTGAAAAAAGCTATTGAAAGTGGTGGGCTTTCAACAGGGCAAGACCTTAATCAAGATACTAGTCTTAAGCGGCCGGGGGAAACACGGTGGGGTTCACATTATGGACTTTATTGAGCTTGATTAATTTGTTTTCATCTGTTATTGAAGTGCTTAAGGATCTTACTGAAAATTCTGATAATAGAGTTGAAGCAAGTGATTTGGTGGATTATATGACTTCTTTTGATTTTGCTTTTAACTTGCACATGATGAAAAACATTTTGGGAATCACATTTGAATTTTCACAAGCATTGCAAAGGAAGAATCAAGATATTATAAATGTTATGTCTTTGGTTCATTTGTTGAAAAGAAGAATATTGTTGATAAGAAATAATGGATGGGATAATCTACTTGATGAAGTTTCTCATTTTTGCATTGCTCATAATATAAATGTGCAAAATATGGAAGAGAAATTTGTTGCACAAGGGAGACCATGGTGTAATGTTCAAGAGATGACAAATTTATTTCATTATCGTATCGAGTTGTTCTATGCCATAATAGATTTGCAATTATCAGAGCTTAACAGTCATTTTAATGAAGGTAATACAGAATTACTTATTTGCATGACTTTCCTAAATCCAAGTGATTGCTTTCAAGCATTTGATAAGGGAAAATTAGTTCGTTTTGCTCAATTCTATCCACTTGAATTTTCTTCTATTGATTTTATGACACCTGAACTTCAACTTGATAATTACATTGATGATATGCGCTCGAATAGTGATTTTTCAAAACTAAATTATATTACCACTCTTGCTTAGAAAATAGTTGAAAAGAAGAAGCATCTTATTTACTCATTGGTATATTTGCTCATTACATTGGCTTTAACCTTACTATTTGCAATTGCAAGTGTAGAAATGACATTTTCTGCTATGAAAATTGTGAAGACTCATTTACCCAATCGGATGGAAGATCAATTCTTGAATGATAGCCTAACTCCATATGTTGAGAAAGATATATTTGACAGTGTTGATAAGGAGATGGTGATGCAACAATTCCTTAATATGAAGCCCCGCCCAGGACAATAGTAAATATAATTTTTTTTCTTTTTGTGACAATATTGACTAGAAAAACAGAATATGAATGTTATATACAATTAGTTTTTATTTGGCCCATCCTAACAAAATTTTCTGGATTCGCCCTTGATTCGCTTTGTACTCATTACATCGTAATTAACCCAAAAAATTCAGCACCACTTTCATTCCAAAAGATTTACACAAGTTCAATTTTTTTCCAAATTTAATGGGAGACAATGAAATAGAAATGGCAGTTAAGCTTATCAACCTATGCCACTTCCTCAGGCCAACATAGAAATGAACTCCTAGCTGTCAGCTAAAAGTAATCAAACAAATTGTGGTAGTTTTAAATACAATCAAATTGACAAACATTGAATAACAATTTTTGCCTAGACTTGCAATTCATCTTCATAACAGCTGCTCCACTTGTTTGCTGAGGAGATTTCAGTTCAAGACTGCACTCTCACAGGATATGTCATAAGCTTTCAATTTTTTCCGTCAAAAACAAGCATCTAGAATTTCATCATTCAGCCTCTCACACACTAGACAGTTCTCATGAGGCAATCCAATGCCTTTTGTAGCGCAGCTAACACAATACCAACTTTTTGGAGGAATCTCTTTAACAGCTGGCTTAACACAGGAGACATGGTACATTTCTTAACATGAATCGCAAACTAAACAATCCTTCCCATCAGCCTTCTCCTCACAGCGCCTGCAAGTGCAAACCTTATTCACACCACATGCTATATTAGCATCAGAGTTGGATTCCCCAGTAAAAACCTGCTATGTAGGAAAATAATTTCAATTGCTCAGGACCAACTGAGATTGCATTTAGTATATCATTAAAGGAAACAGCAGAAAGATCAAACTGGGCAGTATAAAATTTCAAAGTTCTTCCATCTAATAACTCTAAATTTCATCCTGATACTCTGCAACATTACTTTTTTATAAAGCCCAGTTATCTTACTTTCAATTTCACTGCAACACACAAATAAAAAGCACTTCAATACAAATACATTATATACAATGCATCAATTGCAATTGTAATTATTGCAAAAACATTAGAGTGTGCGACACCGCAAGTCATTTGAAACCTTCTACTGAATCTATATCCTCCAAAGCACCAAATGCAGCCTGAGCAATCTAATAATTTGTAATGACAGTAAGATGCACGTCTATCTGATTTTTGAGGATTCAATCATACAAATTACCAAAATTAAAGAAGACAGCGAATCCAAATAACATGCATTCAGAAAGTTTACCTCAATTTTCTCTTCATCACACTTAGCTATATTGGGCCTCCAACCTGGAAGGAAAACATTAGAGTAAACTGAGACAGAACGGCTACAAGTAACCAAAAACTGGAAAAATTAAAGTTTAGAACCAATGGAAGAAAACAATATAGCATATAAAGAAAAGTACTTAAGTACAGTAACATCAGTGAATAGTCATACATGCTCATTGCAGGAAGTCCTTGAAAATTATTTTTCTCACAATAAAGCAAGTAACAATAAAACATTGAAAATGAAAAATCTTTTACTCACAATAGTACGCCAATAAAAGTGGATTTCAAAAGTTGTTCGAAGTTTAGATCCTACGATGAGCACAAACCCCAAAAAAAAAAAGAAAAAAACTAATTGATGCTAAAGTTGAAAATTGGAGAAAATAAATCACAAGCAATATACAAAGTGAATTGGTTGTGAAAAATTAAAGTCCAAAAAGTATATTGATTTGGAAGTAAGTTTTTTCCTGGAGATTGAATATAACTTAAAAGAAGCGATGCGATAAAAATAGAGTAAAAGAAGAATGGATCCTAAAAACAAATACAAAGTAAATAGCTTAATAGATAGAAGATGAACCACGGCCATCAAAAGTGTGTAGAAAATTATTTACAGAAAATGGAAATAGGGATGGAAAAGGAGAATAATTGATTACCTCAACGTGAGAAGAGGGTTTGGTTTTGAGAATTAAACAATCTACAAGAGCAGCCCAATTAATGGAATAGTTGTCGAAAGTTCCCTAGCGATAATACTGCTGCATCGAGAAAATTTAGCTGCGCGGCCATCCCAAGTTTCGATTTAAGAAAATGGCCTTGAAAATGTTTTTCATTTTTTTTTTAATTTAGAGAAGATGGCGTGGCATAGTTAGGATTAATTAAACACGTAAAATGGGTTTAAATGAAAAGGTTAAAACATATGTGGGCCGAATATAAATAATGAAAGTTTTTAAAATTTGAAATTTATCAAAACAAGTCCCATCTATTCACCTCGCTTAATCGAAATTCATTAGGGCAAAAAGCGATTTCTTGAACCAAAGGGAGACACTGTGATTTTTTCCGATCGAACCTGCAAATTTGCACACCATATTCAATCCTGAAATCAATTTCTTGAACCCTAAACGGAATACAGTCGCGATTTTCGGCGATATAGTCACGATTTTCAATCAATTTCTTGAACCCTAAACAGAATCTGTGCGATTTCCGGTGATACAATCCACATTTCTGATCAAAACTGCAAACTTTGATACCAAATTCAATCCAAAACCATGGCTGACACTCACAATGAGGAGGAAAACCCTACACCACTTCGAATCCTAGATTCCGGTGGCGCAAGCAGTTCAATGGTTGCTCCGGTGGATCATCCAATCAGTGAAGGTAGTCCACAGGCAGAGGAGACGACAGCGACACAACAACAGAGAGAAGAATCGGCAAACGGTTTTGAAGACGAGGAGTTTGGCAAGAATTCAGGCCAAAAGGAGTCGTCCGAGGATTCAGGCGACGAGAAGGAGGCCTGCAAGAATGCGAGAGGTCGGCGAAGAAAGGGTACGATTTGTTTTGGGAATATTGCTTGTACTGTCGCTTAAGCGATCATTTGTATCGCTTAAGCGATTAATGTCTTTTACTCATGATCGCTTAAGCGATCCTATCATCTGCCCAGATCTAAGATCACTTAAACGATCCTTTGTATCGCTTAAGCGATTTATTCAGTTTACTCTTGGTCGCTTAAGCGATTTCAGATCGTTTAAGCGATCTTGTCGAGGCAGAATCACAGATATAAGATCGCTTAAGCGATCTTTTGTATCGCTTAAGAGATTCTTTCAGTTACTCTTGGTCGCTTAAGCGATCTTGTATGAGGCAGAGTCAAGATCTCTTAAGTGATCCAAAATCACTTAAGCGACTACAGTGGTAATTTTTTGTTGCTGATATTTTGTTTTTTAGTTGTTTTGGTTTATTTTTGTTGCTGACATTTTGTTTATATCGATTGTACAGATTGTGCGGACCGTAAACTGTAGAGACTACAAGTTGGAGCTTATAAGTGATAAGGTACCCTACTTCCCTGCAAGGTGACGGTGAGGCTGAGTTGGCATCTTTTTGACAGAATAAGGGACATTTTAGCTGGAATGAGGCATGGTGCAAGAGATTTTCGTTGCACTTGTTTCGGTCTGTTTTTAAGAATCGGAACAAATTGGAAAAAGGCATTTTGGGGGCAGGATGTGCATTACATGTTGTTGCACTCAGTAAAATGCAATAAAAAAATAAAAAGAAATGTGGTTCGTTGTGGACAGAAAGCCACTACGTTTTGGGATGATGGAGTATGCCTTGGTGACGGGCTTAAGATGCGGGGAAGTGCCAGATAAGGCAGAGGCAGACGCAATAAGGACGAGTCCGACAGCCAAAAGGTTTTGTAAGAAGGTTTGCAGGGGGCAAAGTTTATTACAGGACAGATTTTAGAGAAGAGGCTACAAACAGTTTGGTTTAATGATGGAGAGAAGATAAAAGTGTGTTTGGTATTGTTTTTACATTCGATCTTATTGGCTGGTGACTCAACAAAAGCTATTGAAAATGATTGGTTGTTGTTTGCAAGCGACTTGGAGTTCTTTAATTCTTATCCATGGGGACAGATATCATTTGAGCGAACCATCAATAGCCTGAAAAAACCAGACATGGCATTAAAGTAGGCCCAATGGGTCAGGAAGGATAAACCAAGCATGTACAATTTGTTTCGCTTCCCATGGGCAATGTAGGTAAATATTAATAGCTTTTTGTTATATTTTTTATAATATATGTGTTTGAATTATGATATGAATTGTTTTTTTACAATGTAGGCTTGGATGTACGAGGCCATCCCTGTCTTCGCTAAGGCGGGGGGGAGTAGCAACAGTTTGGATATGCAACAGCAATTTCATAGGATATTTCGGTGGCATGTCGAGAGGTGTACCCATAGGGACTACGACCAAATAGACATTAAGATTGAAGCGGCTAGGGTAAGATTAAAGAATTAAGATTTTGAATATGCAGTTGCTTAAAATGTCGCTTCAATCTGATTGATTTGTTTCTTATTGCAGGGAGTCGTCTGTCCCTTTCTCACTGCTACTGGGGATGAAGCGGAAGAGGACTATGTCACATCTTTCAAAGCACTGGAGGATGAAAGGGATGAATGGATAGATCGCTTGATGCGGGCCTAAAAAGGATCACGCATGTGACGGCAGTTGCAGGGCCACTACTTGACAATGTGGTTGATGTCGAGGATGATGAAGCTCCAATCAGCGGGAGGCCCGAGGATAAGGAGAAGAAGAGGGAGGAAGAGGTTCATATGCCTCAGCAAACTGGTACAACAAGTACCGCTTTGCCGAGACATCGGAGTCGGGAGAATGAGGTGGTTGACCTCATAAACGGCCTGTTTGAGAGTTTTACAATAGCTGTTTATGACAGGTTTGACAAGATAGAAGAGCGCATGAAAAGGGTGGAGGAGAAAGTGGATAAGCTGGCAGAGAAAGTTGGAACAGTGGAGGAGGAAATTGGTACAATGCAGGAGAAAGTTGGTGGAGAATTAAAGGCGATTGAAGTGCAAACTGGGCTTAAAACAGAGAGCCGAAAGAGCAAGTTTGTGAAATTGCCTTACATGGTAGTGACACAGGTAAAGAAGAAGAAAATTAAAAACAAATAGAGGAAGAACCAGAAATAGAGGAGGTTAAGGAGGTTGGTGGAGGAAGTAAGGCGGTGATAATGGAGG